CTCCCTCCTCCTTCGCCTCGTCCTTCTCCCGCTCCCCCCACAAGGAGGATGTACAAGGAGGCGGGAGGAAGGAAGGACAGGGGAGATATGCGGGGCCCAGCGGACACACGCCTGAAAAACACGACTGTCGGCATGCTTCGCGAGAGTTGCTGCTGTGAAATGGGCTGGTGGGGATACGTGAAGCGTAAAGAATTCTATTTTTCTGGATAGCATGCCACCTTCCCCCCCCCAGGACGTTTCCATACCACTCCTCCTCCGTGAGAGCTGAACCTTGCAAATGCGAATAGTTCCGCTTCTTGATGCCCCACGACGAGCCAGAAGCCAGTCTAGAATACTGGTGCGCCTCCGCAAACCTGCGATCTCGCCGGGCGTCGTGCAAAAGCTCTAAGTACATGCGCTGTTTGTTCACCCGCTGCCTCCTTCGCTCCTTATGTGTTGCTGCCGTGACCTCCTTCAGCTGCTCAACCACCTCCTCCTCCTCCTCCTCCTCCTCCTCCTCCTCCTCCTCCTCCTCCTCCTCTTCAGCTGTGAGCGATAACTGGCGGCGAAGTTCTCGTATGCGACGGAGTAATTTCTCACGTCTCTGACGACATTCTGCTAGCAGCCTCGGGTCAGACTGCTCCGTACTCAAAGTCTCAAGGCCGCGTCGTATCAATATCTCGTTCACTACCTCGAAAAACCTATCGGGAGTGGGCATGGCAAGAAGGTGCATGAGCTCACACTCTCGTTCAGCGAATTCTTCCACTGCAGCAATGAACTCTTGGCGACGAGTACCTCGCTTAAGAGCTTCCATGAGAGAAGAAAAGGTTCCACCGAGCTTTGCCGGCTTCCCCCCCCCCTGGTATGAACGATGACCTCCATGCTGCATGTACAGGTATATGATCACGTGGACTGCGAGTACATATATGTTGCACTTCTCTGCCTAGCTTGCGGAGCACACCCGCCTTGTGCAGGTGAGCGACAAATTCACGAAGAACACAAAGCAGATCAAGTCTTTTCTGCTCTCCCTGAGGCCCTGTCCAGGTCGGGGTGAAGGGGCGCCCTCCGTCGACGAAAACGAAATCGAACTCCTCGAGTACCTTCCTGAGCATTTTTCCAGACCCAGTCTGGTAAAGTTCCCTCGAAGCTACCGACTCACGAAGAACACTAGTACCAGAAAGCCCACCCATCTCCTCATCAATGCCCATCCCGTCATTCAAATCCACTGCTAAGATCGGCGTAGTCCTACCACGAGCCCTCCTCAGCACGTCGCTGATCCACTTTGTCAGCAGCTCCACCGTCTTGAGATAGTTCGGCCTGGCTGCAATCACTCTCGGCTTCGGAGGGAAGTAGGCGGCGATGGGCAACATATCTAGCCCGCATAGTTTGAGACGAAGTCCTAGTCCCCTTCCAAGTAGAGAACGAGGTGGCAGGAGAGGATGGCCGACGATGTTCGTTTCTTTCATTCTAGATCCCAGGAGAATAGAGCACCCAGCTGCTTTGTTAGTGAATGGGCCTGGGAGCCATCCAGCCTGGATAAGTACCGATGTTCCAATTCTTCTCCTCGTAACTTGGCCATCCGCTGGAGCCCTCAGCCGGGTCCAGATGAACATAGACACGTCGAAGCCCCTGAAATTGTACTCCAAATCCTCGATGCGGTCGGCACGATTCGCGCTCAAGGTGTTGAAGGCGGCGACCCTCAGCCATCTCGATCTGGTGGCGGCCCCCAACATCAACCTTCAACTCGGGATGACATAGTGAGGAAGATTGTGTGCCTGACGACCTGACGTCACCAAGCGACCGACGAAAGCTTTGTGCCGACATGTCGCTGGAGGAGGAGGAGGAGGAGGAGGGGGGGAGGAAACAAAGTGCGCTGAGACTGCAATGCATCCACCCTCGGCCGAGCAGGATGCAGCACGCTGAAGACCCTTAGGGTGACGAGGTGGCCATGTTGTGATCGCAGGCGGCCAGCAAAAGAGGACAGTGCGGGCTCGCCGGCGACTCCCTGGACAGGGAGTATGTTGAGACATCCAGCTTTCGCTGGATATTTATTCAATATGTTGAGAAATCCAGCTTTCGCTTGAGACTTCCTTGCGGTTGGCTCAGGAATCGAGCGCTCTCGCCTGAACTTCTCACGCGATTTACACATATGCTGCGCCTCGACACTCAGGAATCGCTCTCTCGCTTTGGACGAATCCTTTGTGTTTTACGCATGCGTCTATAAATTGTCCTTCTCCTGTGCATCCGCTCCTAACTGTTTTACGTATGTTCCTATGGATTGGGCCTCACCTGGAGCACTCGTCCTTGGTGTTTTACGTGTGTTCCTGTACATTGCCCTTCTCCTGTGGCTCCAATCCGAAGTGTTTTACGTCTGTTCCTATATATTGTGCCTGTCCTGGGGCACGAATCCTCACCAAAAGGCCCCAGGAGGATTAAGGAGGCCCCAGGAGTCCACACGAGGCCCTAGGAGGCCTCAGGAGGCCACAGAAAGCCCCAAGAGGCCCCAGGAGGCCCCAAGAGGCTCCGTGAGGTCCCAGCTTGTGTTATGTTATGCTATGGTATGGTAGGTTATGGCATGGTGCGTTATGGTGTACCATGCTATGGTATGTCATGGTGTGGTATGTTATGTTATGGTATGTTATGGTGTTCCCTACCTAGGCTCTGCCTAGAAGGGTTCTTACTCTCTTTGCTCAAAGGGCCGGGCAGTGCTAACCGCCCCGGGCGGTTCCCCCTGTCCCCGCCCCGCGGTTCCCCCAGTCCCCTGGGAGCTCTAGCCTTAGCTTTAGCTTTAGCTTAGCTTTAGCTTTAGCTTTAGCTTTAGCTTAGCTTTAGCTGAGCTTCAGCTTAGTGTTAGCTTAGCTTTAGCTTAGCTTTAGCTCAGCTTTAGCTTAGATTTAGCGTAGCTTTAGCTTAGCTTCAGCTTAGTGTTAGCTTAGCTTTAGCTTAGCTTTAGCTTAGCTTAGCTTCAGCTTAGCTTTAACTGAGCTTTAGCTTAGTGTTAGCTTAGCCTTAGCTTAGCGTTCGCTTAGATTTAGCTTAGCTTTAGCTTAGCTTTAGCTTAGCTTTAGCTTAGCTTCAGCTTAGTGTTAGCTTAGCTTTAGCTTGGCTTTAGCTTAGCTTTATCTTAGCTTCAGCTTAGCTTCAGCTTAGTGTTAGCTTAGCTTTAGCTTAGTGTTAGCTTAGCTTTAGCTTAGCTTTAGCTTAGCTTTAGCTTAGCTTCAGCTTAGCTTCAGCTTAGCTTTAGCTTAGCTTTAGTTTATATTTAGCGTTAGCTTTAGCTTAGCTTTAGCTTAGCTTCAGCTTAGCGTTCGCTTAGCTTTAGCTTAGCTTAGCCTTATCTCAGTTTTAGCTTAGCTTTCGCTTAGCTTCAGCTTAGCTTTAGCTTAGCTTTAGCTTAGCCTTAGTTTATAATTAGCGTTAGCTTTAGCTTAGCTTTAGCTTAGCTTCAGCTTAGCTTTAGCTTAGCTTTAGCTTAGTGTTAGCTTAGCCTTAGCTGAGCTGTAGCTTAGCTTTAGCTTAGCTTCAGCTTAGCTTTAGCTTAGCTTTAGCTTAGCTTTAGCTAAGCTTTAGCTAAGCTTTAGCTTAGTTTTAGCTTAGCTTTAGCTTAGCTTTAGCTTAGCTTTAGCTTAGCTTTACTGTTACTACTAATGCTGCTTTCCTAGGGGCTCCAACTCCTAGGTAGGGTCGCACTGGGATAATTGACGCTATGCCATGCCATGTTATGCTGATGGTGGCGATGATGATGATGATGATGCTGCTGCTGAAAATGTGGATGATGAAGAAGATGCTGATGATGATGCTGGTGATTATTTTGGGGTATGCTTTACCATCGTTGCTCCACGAGCCTAGGAACCTCGGTCCGCATCGCCACCAATGGCGACATGAATATGTGCCGCATCCTCCGACGCCTTGCCGACTCGCAGCCATAACAATTTTGCAAGGACCTCGTGCAGGAAGTCGGCGAATCCTTCCTGCGCCCCCCGCCCGCGCTGGAAGAGACCTCCTCCTCCCCCTCCCCCTTGATGGGGCGAGCAATTCGCTCGTACCGCGTGCCACTCGAACGGGCCAACGGACAAACGCCTAGATCTGGCGCTGGTGTATTCCATCACCCCACGCAAGGATGCAGGCAACAGCGTATCTTTTTGTTGCTCGCACCTCGAGAGGAGCGAGCTTCATCAGACACCGACCCTGTACCGAAGATTGCCCGGGCCAGGACTGGTGATTTGGCCAGGTGACGTCACCCAGTTTAAAACTTTGAGTGGAACCAGCAACTTAACCACCCTCCATGCAGAAGAGCAAAAAATGCCCTATCTGGTTGGCGACAAAGCCAGGTCGCACGCTTGGGCTAACGCCACGCTTCGTGAGCGGGATCCTTAGCCAAGCGGGTTCGTAGTAGGGCGTCGCGTGTAAAATGCGCAACCATGTATGGGCAAGATCGTGGAACGATCTGGCCCGAGGAGCTTGAAAAACAATCGGGCCTGGCAGCCCGGTATCTGTGCTATCGGCGGGAGCGAGAAGAGGACGGCAACAGAAGCAGGAACAGGAGGGGGCGGGGACACGGGAAAAAAATGAGTACGAGGACGGCAACGCCCAGGTCTGCGAGAAGCGAATTTAAGTCCATCTGCGATGCATGCGCGTCGTGCGGCCACGATGGCACAGCAAGTGCACCGCGTCCTCCCGCAGGTCCCTCGGCACATTCGTCCCACCTCCATCTCCCTCTTTTCCTCATCCTCCACGTCCACCTCCCTCCCTCAAGGTTCGCAGAGGGCCAATATCCAAGGCCCACTAAAAAATCAAGCCCCAAACTGGACCGAACAAAGACATGCAACGCGCGAGCATATCCGCAAGAAGCGCGCAAAATGCCCCGAGGGTGGATCCTCCCGGCCACGGCTGCGAGACTCCTCGCGCGCTGTTGGCGACCGCTGGACATAGCATGCCTGGCGGCTCATAAACGAGTCCGCCAATTCAATTCCTCCTCCTCCTCACCATCTTCACCATCATCCTCCCCCCCCCTATCCCGATGTCCTTCCTTCCTGCCTGGGCAGCCTGGCGCGGCGGCCGGGTCCAGAATCTAATAGCTACCGGTTCGACACGCAGGGCTAGCCCAGGCTCACGTCTTGATCGGATCTCTGGCCAGATCATTCTCGATTTTGGAACCGGCAGTCCGCTAGCTGGGCTGCAGATGCTGGCAGCCGCCCAGCTCGGGGCCGCCAAGCCGAGTGCGGGCGCGCAGTGCTGGCAGCCAGCACCGCGCGCCATCAGCCAGGCTGGTGCCTGGCATTCGCGTCCAAAGGTGCGCCAGGCTTTTTCCAGATAGGCGAGGGTCCGCGCAGGACGCGCCGGGCCCCGGTGCAGAGGCTGCGACAGCACGGCCAGACGTCTGGCGTCGTCGAGGACGGTTCCCTTCTTCCTCCAGCTGGTGCCTTCCTACCCTCCTTCTCAACATAGTCGCGGTCCTTCCTCGGCAACCACTCCCCCCTTCCCGAATTCGCAGCAGCCTCCTGCGTGGATCCGCGCACGGCCGCTCTGAAGGCACCCTTTGAAATCTTGAAACCCCAGCGACCAATGTGAAAGCAATCTCGAGGGGAGGGATGACAGTCGGCTCAAACCCTAAATTGAAGCTGCATGGAAAAGCTGCCTGCTCGTCACCTCTCGTGAGGTCGCCCCCGCGACATCCTGGCCATGGTCAGGGTGCTTCTTCTTCTTCTTCTTCTGCTCACAGTCCCCCTCCGCTCCAGCCGGGACGTCCGGGACCAGCTTCGGCAGCGCGCCGCCGAGACCCCTTCGGCAAGCTGAGCGACTGGCCCGCGCCGAAGGGCCCCTCGCGGCAGCCTCCCGCGGCCTGCGCAGCGAGGCCGCGTGTTCGCCGAGGGCACCCCAGGGGAGGCTGGCCGTGGACGCCTCGCCACTCGTCGGCGCCCGCCCCGACAGAGCTCCAGCGCCCCGCGCGCAGGGTGCCGGCGGCGGCGGCGGCGGCGCCTCTCGCGCGGGGGGCGGCCGCGACCTGGGCCGCGGGGCGGTGCGCCCGATGGCCGCGCGGGCGGGGAACGACCCGGCTTCCCTGGGCGCGGCCGGCTTCCCGGCGGCGCGCGCGGCCGGCTTCCCGGGGCTGCCGCCCTCGTACGACGTGCAGGGCTCGGAGGACGGCATTGCCGCAGTCAGGACGGTGCAGGTCAGCTCGTCGGACGACGATACCTCGAAGAGCACCCTCTGGGATCGCTGCAACGCCATGGCCAGCCACCGATGAGGCCTCGAGGGCCTGGATCGTACGGTACGGGCCGCGCGGAAGACGTCGCCAAGTGCAGGCCTGGAGAACTTGGGCCAAAATGGCTACGGATGATGATGACGACGACGATGATGATGATACTGCTGCTGCTGATCATGCTGATAGGGAGGTTAACAGTATTAATGATAATGGCAGCAAGCACGATACAACTAACCGAAATACTACAATAACTACATGCACTACTACGACGAATCATAATGATGACGATGACGCTGATGATGGTGATGGTGATGGTGGTGGCGATGATGATGATGATGATGATGTTGATGATGATGATGATAGTGATGATGATGGGGATGATGATGCTGGTGCTGATGACGATGCTGATGATGATGTTTCTGATAGGAAGGATAACAACACGAAGAACAACCATCAGACCAACGGCAATCATATAAACATACCAATTCGATTACCAACATTGGTATGAGTCATACTCTTCATTCTGATACGAAGAACGATGATGATGATGACGATGATGATAATGGTGATGTTGATGATGATTGTGAGGGCGACGCCTATGATTATGCTGATGATGATGATGATGATGATGATGATGATGATGGCGATGGTGATGATGATGACAATGATGATGATGGCGATGATGATGATGATGACGATGGTGGTGGTGGTGATGATGCTGCTGCTGATGATGATGATGATGCTGATGATGGCGGAACCGATTATGAGAATGTCTCGGGCGAGGCGCGGGTTGCAGCACCCCCAAGGGGGGGGGGCCGCCAGGGGATATCTCACACCTCCTTTCGCGCCGAAATTTACAGGAAGCACCGGGAGGCCCCAGGAGGCCAGGAGGCCACAGGAAGCGGCAGGAGAGGCCCCAGGAGCAGCAGGCCTCAAAGGCCACAGGAGTGGCTCGAATCCCATGTGGTTTACACATGTTCCTTTAGATTGGGCCTCATCTGGAACACGACTCCTTTGTTGTTTTGCGTATGTGTATGTGGCTTGTCCTTTTTTTCCTGCGTAGCCACTCCTACATGATTTACGTATGTTCCTATAGATTGCCCCCCCCCCCCCCCCCTCCCCCTGGGCCCTGGGGCGCAAGTCCTAAGTGTTTTACGCGTGTTCCTATAGATTGCCCCTCTCCTGGGGATCCAATCCGCAGTGTGTTACGCCTGTTCCTATGGATTTGGCCTCTCCTGGGGCACGGATCCTCCCCAGGAAGCCCCAGGAAGCTCCAGGAGTTCCCAAGAGGCTCCAGGAGGCCACAGGAGGCCCCAGGAGGCCTCAGGAGGCCCCAGGTGGTTTCGAGAGGCCCCAGGATGCTCATGTGCAGAGACGCACTAATACCCTGTAACGCCCCGCGCGGGGGTAGAAACCAACTGGGTGCAGTTTACTCCGTGGAGCGTCGTGTTGTCTCCTCTTCCACTCGTGTTCTTGCGGCAGACGTCCACCCCTGAGGCTTTCGGAAGTTTCCACAAGGCTCGCAGGTAGTCAGAAAAATGCCCCGAACATCGAAGACTAAGTTATTCGAGGTTTCGTCTTCGACTCCGTTCCCAGAGCCCCGACGTGGTGTCTGTTCATCTTGTCGGCGCCCTTGTTGTATCGGAGGGCCTCTTTATGACGATCCCGAGAGAAGGGAGGAGGGAGGAGGGAGGAGGGAAGGAGGAGGGAGGAGGGAGGAAAACGGATGGGGAGGAGGCGGATCTCGCGCACGGCGCTGTCGGAGCCATCGAGGCTACGGATGAGGTAGGAGGAGGATGAGGAGGAGGAGGAGGAAGAGGAGGAGGAGGAGGAGGAGGAAGAAGAGGAAGCGGATAAGGAGGATAAGAAAGAGGAGGAGAAGGAGGAGGAAGAGGAGGAGGAAGGATTAAAAGCAGGACGGATGAGGAGGAGGAAGGATTAAAAGCAGGGGCGGGCGGGCCACGAGGGGCAGCCGGGGGGGGGGCTTCTCGGGGTGTCTCCCGCCCCGCCCATGTGCCGTGCTGGCCCGCAGGCCCCTCGCGAGGTGGAGGCGCGCAGGCAGCGGGGCTGACGCCCCCAGGGGAGCGACCACTTAGAACCAGCCTCGAACGTATCCCTATCCCTAAGATGGGCGAGCAACAAGCGAGGACAATCTTAGGGATAGGCCCTCAAAAACTGAGGGGATCCTCAAGATCATCATCGAGGTGAGGTGATGTCAAACATAGGGATAGGGATAGGGATAGGGATAGGGATCGAGGTGAGGTGATGTCAAACATGTCAAACACAGATGCTCAAACCAGTCGGACCCGAAGGGCACTGGGCCCCCCGACCTCGGACGAGTGGCGTGGGAATGCCCGCGGAGGAGGGCGGGGGTGGGAAGCCCCGACCCCCTTCTCGATCGTGGCTCATGCTCGCTGCTGGAGCGTGTGAGGCGGGGAGGGGGGAGGGAAGAGGGAAGAGGGAGAGGGAAGAGGGAAGAGGGAAGAGGGAGCGAGGGAAGAGGGAGCGAGGGAAGAGGGAGCGAGGGAAGAGGGAAGAGGGCGAGGGAAGAGGGAAGAGGGAAGGGCAGAGGGAAGAGGGAAGAGGGCGAGGGGAGAGGAGCAAACACAGGTAGGGCCACCTGCTCGTCGAAACGAGCAACCCCAACACTGGGGGCTGCTCGTCGTGAGCCTGCGCGCTTCGGGAGCGGACGCCGAAGAGGGCATGCTCTGGGCAGGCCAAACCGAGCCCACCCTGACCCGAAGAGCACATCGGGCGCTCCGAGGTGGGACCACTGGCGAGGCACAGACGCTGGCCAGGGGCCCCAGCTCTTCAGAGGCCCCCGAGAAGGTGTGAGAAAGAGGAGGTTCGTGACGACGTCCGAACCCCACCCCACCAACCGGCTTCTCTCCTGAATCGATGGGAGAGTTCGGATTTCGCCACGTGGTCGACGGAGTCCGAACCCTACCCCCGCCGCGCATCGAGTCACCCGAGTCGCGCCGCCGAGGAGAAGCGGAGGGAGTAGAAGGACGCAGGAGCAGCAGCTGCGCTCGCCAGGGGCACCTGGAGGCCTCTGAATCCTCCAGGGCGAGTCAAGAGGCTTCGAGGCCCGCAGGGGCAGCGCTCTCGGGTCTCGCCTCGAGCCAGCCCCACCAGGATCGGCTGCCTTAACCAGCCTCGAACGTATCCCTATCCCTAAGATGAACAAGCCAAAAGTCGACGCCAATCGTGGGGATGCTCCCTCAGAAACGGAGGGAATCCCTAAGATCGGCATCGAGATGAGGCGATGCCAAGCATAGGGATAGGGATATGTTCCAGGCTGGCGATGCCTGCAGGCGTGCCCCCAAGCTCCAGGCAAGAGTGACCCGTGATGCACGGCTTAAGGAGGCCCCAACGGGGGGGGCAAATCGAAACGCGCAAAACCAATGCTAGGGCAGGCCTCAAATCGGGCGCGGCCAGGCCGACCCGTTCCGTGACGAGCCCCTTCCGTGACGGCCCCCTCGCCCTTGAAGGTGAGCGTTTTCTCATTCGGCGTTTCGACATTGGGCAGAAGGGGGGGGTCTGGCTCCGGACCTCTGCTTCGTGCGATTTTTTGCAA